ATGTTATACCTTGTGTTTTTTTTTCTGAAATTCTTCTATAATATGTACTATTTAAAGAACAAAAAACAAGGACCATTTTTTAAAAACCCTGAGTTATGGACCCTGAGAAATTGAATGGCAAAAATGTATTTCAGGACTCCTGCTTTTCCTTTTCAGTACACTCAAATGCAGTTAAGAAACAAAGAAACATGGTTCAGCATGAAGAAATATGGCTACTGCATGGAGTGGAGCACCAAAACAGTGAATATACCATCTTATCAAGGTATATCATTATATCACTGATAATGAGGTAATGGGTAATGAGGAAGATATCTTTACATTCCTTAGCTGAAGATTTATGAGAAAAAAATCCATTATTCAATAATTCCATAATTCCCTGAGATTATACTGCACAATAGTTTCAGTGACACTTTCTAATAAAACATTTTTGAACACATTTCTCATGAAAAAACACCCTGCCTCAAGCCAAATTATCATAACTAGGCTTCATCAATACAAAGATTTCATCATTTCATTAAAAACCAAAAATTTATATAACATATTGCCTCAAAAAGTAGCTGTGAAAAAAGAAAAAAAAGCTGCCTTCTCAAGTCTGTATTTGGAATTGAAAGTGAGAAATACTGATCTGAGAGAAAACAGAATATGTTTTTATTGAAGCTTCTCATGTCTAGCACATTTTCATTGAAAGCAGAATTCTGTTAATTTTCTGTAATTATTGTTACAACATCATTTAGTAGAAAAAAAGAAATCCTAAAATGCATAAATAATGATAGTTCTATATATAAAAATACTTTGAGGTTTCTTCTGATTTTAAAAAGGTGAAGGTAAGTTTACAGCAACCTTACATACAAATAAATTAAAATAACGGCATTAATAATGATTTGCACACCCGCACTGTGATCCATCACCTGTGCTTCCCCCTGTTCTTGAGGTGCTGTGAGCATATTGGTTCACATCTGTCTAATCTTTAGATATATTTCTGTGTCCAGAACTAACTATTTAGATGGGGAGCTTTTGTTTTCCTCCTAAAATTTGTGAAACCTCTGACTTGGGAAAGCACAAGCACTGCTCCCAGTGCTGGCTACTGGTGCAAGGAGGCTTGTCCGTCTTTACCCTCTGGGTCGGACATTGTTTGCGCTCCTGCTGTCATTTTTAGGAGCTAAAATCTCTCCTTGCTTTTTGAGATTCTCGACTAATATTGATTTCATATGAAATACTTAGAACTGGTGATTTCAAATGGCATGAATAGGAGGTGAATATCTATCTTCCGTAGGTTTCCAGTGGTAGCTACACCTCCGCTTTGGAGCCAGTATGTTTGACTGCTGTGTTTTCTGCTTTAGCGTATAAGATGTCTAAGAGACAAGCCATCAGCATTCGCATTTGGCCTCCTTCCACTACTAATTACTGCCTTCAGAGGAAGCCCACAGTGTGATGTGCAGATAGAGCTCTCCCAGTACTGCCTTTGCAGCTGCATCAGCTGGGCCTGGCATCCTCATGGGATACTTAGGTTGCAAGCTTGGCACTTGGGACCGGGCAGCCCAAGGCTCTGACTGTTGTCAGTCAAGCTCAACCAGTGCAACCAGGTGCCACTAGAAGAGTGACAAATCTGTTCCCCTCACACAATGCTTTGGCCGCTGATGGATGAGCTGCTGTGCTCCATGGGCTGCCTCTTGAGCTGGAGCTGCCACCTGGCTTACCTCTGTATGGCACGTAGCCAGGCCCTAAACTTCTGCAAGTTCTTACGTGACTGCAGGAGTTAAAACACAGCATGACCTTTGGGGCAAACAAACCAGCTGAACATGGGGAATGGGCACCCCCTTGCTCTGAATGTCCTTTTTTGTCCCCAGCTGCACAATATCTCGCACCCGTTGGACGCGGTTCACAACACACAAAGGGTGTCAATGGGCAGCTCCGTTCCGCCAGGTGCATCACACCGGGAACACCGTGTCCTGCTTTGGGAACCTGGCTGGAAGCAGTAAGCACCTTGCCTGGCCAGACCTGGGAGGCAGCTCCCATCCTTAGAGCCTTCTCCGAGCTATCCCTGGGAGTTCTGATCACAGAGGAGCCACTGCTGCTCAGCCCACAGCAGAGGGACAGCACCGAGCCACAACAGAAGGAGGAGCCATCTCCATCAGTGACAACAAACAGCAGCGTGTTATTGATCTTCTCCTCTGCTGTTGATTTTTGGTGCTGTCACAGGCCTTGCAGAACAGGTTCCCAGCAGGGCAAGGCCGATCAGTTGTCAGACACAACAGCCCTCACGGTGGCTCGCTGAGAGGCACCCACGTGTGCTGCTGATGAGGTGCTCGGCCAACACGCGCTGGGGGATTGGCCAGGACCCGGTGGCCGTGGCTTGCCTCACCAAAACCACCCTTCCACAACAAGGGCCCTTGTTGTGGAAGATATTTCTCTTATATCAATTAGCAACTGCCTCAACATAGCTGAGTAGCACTGAGGGGCACTATGGCAGATACAAGAATGCATTTTGCAGAAGCTACAGGCAACTATTTTTATGGGAGTGCTGAAGTCTCTCGTGGTGGGAATCTTCTCTTCTGACTTCTCCTTGTGAAAAGGTGACCTTGCTGTCTAGTCTTCTTTCACAGCTGTATCAAGAGTCATTTCATCTCATTCTGAAGTAAGTAATTAAAATAGACCAAATAACTGTCATCCTTGGAAAAGCTTCTTTCTTCCTCTGCTCTAACTTTCTCAAAGAGAAAATGACTGTCTGGTTCATCTGGGTGTGTCTGCACTGGATCCAGGCAATGCTGTCATGAAAACAGATCCTATCCATCGGTGTGAGACAATTGCAAAAAACAGTCATGACCTCTAAACAGTCATACCCCTCTGTATTCAACTTTAAAATGCTTTAATGCTTTAAGTGATGATGAGGTTTTTCCGAATATCTCACTTTGAGAACTTTGCTCTTCCTTTTCTCCTCCTAGGTAATGGACTTGCAATCACATTTCCCATAGTCTTCTGTTGTTCTACCTGACTGCAAGCAGGGGGCAATGACAAATAGAGAACCCACTGCTAATGTTCATATACATTTTTTACCTCAAACTTTGTAATACTCTCACAGTTAAAACAGGTCGTAATACAGGTTGCAATATATACAACCCCTAAATTATCAGATATAATCAGTTCTGCTCTATTTTGATGATATTCTGAGGAATGAATATAAGGATTTAAAATTATTCTTTTATATAGTTAAGTCATTAAGAGCTAGGAAAAGATTGTTTTTCTTTGCTTAGATGTATGTGTAGTTGAGACAGTGAACCAGTTTATCTAAAGTCTAGGTTTGGTTGTGTTTGATATAATCTGAGTTATTTTAAGAGAAAGGAAGTTTCATACATGCGCTCATTCCTCTGGTTAAAACCAGGTAAATTAATCTAGAATACAAATATTTAAAGAATAATACTCAAACCTCATAATTAAAATCATTATAGATAAAAAAAAATCATTATAGATAAAATGTATCTCTATTGCATGCATTTTTTATCCATAAATGAACTATATTCTGATTTGTTCACTAATGGCAAGCCACAGTATAAATCTAGGCACAGAGGCCATGTGGAAAATTTGAAACTAAAGGTGTGAAAAAAACAGGTAAAAGCTCCTAATTAAAAAAGCAGGTAATCATCACAGTGCAATACATAAAAGTTTATCAAGCAAAGTCCCTGTAAGTGTGAATGTGACAGATGAAATGATTGTCTGCAGTTAGCTAGTAAGCTTCAAAGGAAAGGGAAAACTTATACATTTCTAGACTCAAAATTGCAATTTAATTTAGTTTTCATGAGTAAATAATAAATTGCCATGCAGTTCATTGAGTCAAATTAATCTTTGGCAAACCTCTTAACTTATGGGGCCAATCTTTTATACTGAGAAGGCTACTGAAGGCTCATCATCCAAACTTTGTCAAAGTCTTAAGGATTTTGGAAACTTACCTTTCACTGTAAAGAAAAGTAATGGTAGCACAATGCTTTTCCTCTAGGATTTGTGAAGTTGTTGCAGCAAGAAGATTTTTTTTGCTATATTTAGATCTATATTTAGATTTATATCACTTGAGAAGAATGGCCCATTAATAAAACATGAATCCGGCTTTGTAATTTTGTCATTGTACAAGTGAACACCATGCTGTTATGTGGCAACCAGCCAACCCAAACCCCCTGTTCTTGAGAATCTTTTTTATAATACCTGGAAGGACCTTTTGGTCAGATCCTTAGATCCTTTTTTACTTTTTTTTTCCTGTCCTCTGGACAAATGCGCTCTAAAGAAGACAACGATTAGCTGCTTTTGCATACCCTGTGTGCCTGGTTAGATGTGACAGATGATTTTCTATTTGTGCATGGTCAGCATATAAGTGTCACACTAGTTCTATGCAATAGGTCCGTTGTTGTATTTGGTCTGCATGCCGCTCTGAGGGATGGCTGTATCCTTCTCCTTCTCCTGTTGACACCCATGGGAATGACACGCAGTTGGGTTAAGTTACTCTGACTTTTGACACACAGAAAGCTATAGCAGGAGTCAGTGATTTCCTGAGGGCATCCACCTTGTTTCAGGTCTCTGTGAGAATTGTCAACTTGCCAGCAGGGTGATGCAGAGGGGTGGCACAGATGACCCATATTCAAGCTGGCAGATGTGGGAGAACAGTTCATGTCCTCCTGAGGAACCAAATCACCTCTAAATACCTCTGCTGAGACCCACAGCAAAGGCATCTATAAGTGCACGTCATGGTGTATGCAAGTAGCACGCTTCGGAAAACTCTCAGAGCAGAGTTTTCTGCAAGTGAGCAGAGCCACTCTGTAGTTTGGCAGAAAGTTCCCTCTGTAGAGGTACTTAAAACAGCTTTAGTATTTAGACTTGAGGGAAAAAAAAAAAAAAGAAAAAAAAAGAAAAAACAGAAGAAAACAAGTTGTTCCTCCTGGGAGAGGCTGGCACCACTTGCAGACTGGCAGATAGACTGCCAAAGTAATGACAGCGCAAGAAACCTGCCTTCCTTTGCAAAGCTTTTGTATCACTGACTGTGGGAAAGTTTTGCAATCACTGTAAGAAGGAAATCTAGAATCTGAAAAAAAGTGGTGGAGTGCTCAGTGCTCTACTTTGAGTAGGCTGCACTTGTGCCGTGACGTTGCTCTGGCTCCAAGCCTGCAAGCCCTTGGGCACAGGAAAGCAACAGCCTGACACAGAAGTGACACAAAGTAAGTTGTCTCTGTCTCCAAATCTCTCTGTCTCTCCCCAGCTCTCCATCTCTCTCTCCCTTTCTTTTGCCATTTCTTTCCTCTTGTTTGCATGTTTGTGTAATGGCTGCATGCTAGTGCGGGACGGAATGGGGTCTGTGAACATTGCAGTGTCACTAAACCTGGAAGAGATGATCTAAGTTCAAAAACACAATTCCGCAATTCAATTTTTTTATTAAAGGCTAAGCACTGTGGACAGTCGTGGAGCATTTTATCCTTCTGTACTGCAGTTATTTATTCTCATTATTTTTTTTTAATTGCTATTAGTTTAATCTTATGTTGTTTTTTCTTTTTTTTTTTTTCCTGATTCATTTTAATTGTAAATACTGCTGATATCAATGATTAACTGGTTTACCAAAGTCCAGGTTTTTATACAGTTGTCATAGAAAATATTGTTATTTCACTAGGCAGAGTAAAAAGTGACTTAATATAGTTCTGTATTCTCTTTATGTTTAAGGTACACTATTAGGCTGGCAGCATAAAATTAATTGTGAAAAAGAAAACCACATCACTGATTTAAATACTGTTTATTTATCAGAGTCAGATATTTTGCAAAGTTAATCATCATCAAAATACAAATCAATAAAGGATGTATTTGCTTTAGAGAACTCTGTCTTTCCGGTAACATCTTGTAAAGATTGGGGTAAGTTTGAATGCATGATACCTTAATTATGTAAGACTGTTATTTTCAATCTTTTTTGAGTTGAGAGCTGTTAAAAATGGCCTAGGGAATGTTAGATCTTTTTAGAAACTTCATATGATGTGGGGTACTGTGTAATATATATTTATATATATATATATATATATACTCGCCTTTCCTAGTTACATTTGGAGGGTCTTCCTGGAGTAGGATTTGTAACAAAAAATGATAAAATTGAAGTGAGTGCTTATGAGGTTTTATATCACTTTATTAGGCATTAACACCTATTCACAGTCTTCAAGAGCAACTAAATTTGGGCTTTGGTTGGATAAGAGAGCCTTGACCTTGCTGAGGGTGGGCGGACGTGACTGCCTTGCCTGGCAGAACAGAGCAATCCACGGGAACAGAGAGATCCTTGCATGTTAGCTGGTGACGTTGCAGGAGCCCCGCAGCTCCGGCGTCTAAAAGCTCTCATGATACCTCAAGATAGAGCTCGAACTCAGAGCCCATCTGGCCTCCAAGGCCTGCAGGACGAGGACTTTGATAAGTTCCCAGAGGAATTTAGCACTTCTACAAACTGGAATATCTGAGATATCAATGGGCAGAAAATGTTGCAGGTCAATATTTATGGCAGGGCATGTTAGAGCAAATTCATTGATTTCAATACTTCTACAACCATTTTTTTTTTCTGACAGAGGAGCTTGGCAATAGGTTTTCTTAACTTGTTTTCACTTTAGATCCTCCCTATTAGCAGGGTTTCCCTAATCAGCCTAACCTACAGCTACTCACATAGCTAAGACAACTCCTTGTATCAGAGTTAAATTTTAATAAGAATTTTTTTTTTGCTCTCTCATTAAAATAGCTACAATTACTATTTTTTTCAGAAACTTATGGCCCATATGCCTTGAAGATAGCCATTGTTTCTTTTAAATTTTATCCTCATTACTATATCCATCCTCTTTATTTTATCCTCTTTAAATTTTTTCCATCTTCTCTTTACTATTTTCCTTGCTTTCCTTTTTTCTCCTCTGTCATAATTTTGGGGCTGATTCTATGAACATTTATCCAAAAAATACTTGTTTTTCATAGGAGCACTGCCAGAATTTTACAGTGTTCAGCATTACTACAAATTCATAGATTATGAAGTCAGTACAAATCTTTGTGAATATTACACAATATCTGTAGCCTTGCTGAGTAAGACCAAAATGTCATTTAGCTTGAAATAGTGACCAGAAGCAGGTGCCTAAGGAAGAACATAGGAATTAGTTAAATCACAGTGGAGATAGTTCTCTGTAATGCTCTCTTAGGCTCCAGCTGCTCAGGACTTCCTTTCTTCATACTGATACTGTGAGAAACCTCTCCAACTTCCTTTCTACACAATCAAGATCCTCAAGTCTCCTAAAAAGCAGATTTCCCAAAGCAGGTGCAGGAACCCTTAAATAGTAATAATGGCATTTTGAGCACTACTCAAGATCTCCTCTGAGGAAAAATAAACCTTTACTTTGTGCTTCATCTAGAGACTCACTGTCTAACATGCCTGAAAAATGTTGAAGAAGCTTTTATTGCTATGTGAGTAATAGCGACTCATGGTCATATTTTCCAATAGGAAGGTCTACATATCAATTTAAAGGAGGAAAACCATGGATGGGAGAATCACTGCTGGCCAACTTAAAGACAAGCCACCATTCACGGACAACAATGGCAGAAAAGTTCTTGCCAAGCACGTGTGCCATAATTGCTCAAAGTTAAAGGTATGGACAGTAGCCCTCGGCACATATTTTCTTTGGAAAATTGAAAAATGTAATTTGAAGTTCTATAAAAATGTAGTTAATTTTGAATGGTAATAATTTATGCTACATATATTGGAAACAATGTTTTAGCTTTTGATTCCAAGCACCTCAAACTTAATAGATTAATCTAGTGGTTAGAAGATGGTGCCATGTTTTGCTAATGAATGCATTACAGATGTGGTATAATCCTATGTGTAATAATTGCTAAAGCAGCTACATATTTTTATCCGTATTTTTAAAAGAGAAAAAGTAAGAGTAGAAAGAACATGCCATAGTAATACTACCTATAAGAGACAACTGCGTGCAACAAGTTTTCTCTAAGAAAGTAAACAGCTAAAAGAATATGTGGTAGAGAGATAGAAGCCATGCAGAATCTATGTCTCAATCAATGAACTTTCTTCATTGTAAAATAAAAGGCTTTGCAGGCCACCAAATGCAAAGCAAGTACCACCTGCTCTTTAAGTAAAAACAGTGAAAAGAACCTCTTAAGCTCTTTATGCAGAATTAGAAAACAAAAGATCTGATTCTTGTATTCCTTGAGTAGGTTGCTGAGCCTTCCAATCATAAAGAAAAATTTATTTTTCTGCAAACTCAAATATTTTCTCTCTTCAGATATTTCTTGGAGCTCTAGCTTTTTCCTTTTTTGCCAAAGGATTTTCTGGAAGTTATATGAAGAGTATGTCCAGTCAAATTGAAAGGAGATTTGAAATTTCCTCATCAATTGTTGGCATCATTGATGGTAGCTTTGAGATAGGTATGTCTACTTCCCATGAGTATAGAAAACTACCCCTTCTTAAGACATTATTCCCCCCAAACATGTTTTCCTTTGTAATCTTACTGATATCTTTTTCTGATGGTGCAGGTAACCTAATGGTAATGCTATTGGTGAGTTACCTTGGGCCAAAAGTCCATCGACCAAAATTAATTGCTGTTGGATGTCTCATTATGTCACTTGGAGCATTTTTATCAGTGATGCCTCAATTCCTAATGGGACGGTAAATATGGACAGTTTTCAAACTGTGCCTTAATTGAACTTGATCGTGTGACTTTTTTTTTTTTTTTTAAATCCTACATCTCAGTCAAAACTTTGATGATAGTAGTTTATTCCAGATAACTGGAAGGTGTTGGTAAATGGATTTTGTTAATATTGACTTTTTGATTTCCTTTCTGAAAGCACAGCTCTTTCAACTAGGTAGGTAAGAGAGAAATGTGAAGTCCAGGGTATTTGTATGGCTACAGAAGGTTATTCTTAATTACGCCTAAGTTGAATTGAATTTTTCGCCTGACAGATAAATGCAAACACAGATGTTTTTTAAATGTGCTCTTTTTTTAAATACTTAAACTCTAATGAGATATTATGGGAAGGATTCTCTTTTATGCTGAGCTCTTTAAAATTGTGGAGGTGTGTACCTACCTCCCACTGGACTAGCTGGGAGACTTGAATATCTAAAAAACTCATAGGATCTAAGCTAAGTGCCTACATAGCTGTCGGAAGCAGTCCTTGCCTCTTGAGTTCTTCATCAGACTTACTGAACAGTAGCTGATGTCTTTCAGAAATCAGAAGTATCTGTACATCTTCCTTAGCTCCAAGACTTGCATAAATAAATCATATAAAGAGTTATGTCTGGGGACTGTGGTACAGAAAGTGGTTACAGCCACAGCTCTGCCTGTGAAATAGTAGGGAGCTTGTGCTGCAGGGGACAGAGCTAGGAAAAAATCTCTGATTTATCCCAAACCCACAACTGAATAATGAACATTTTCCAAAACCCAATAGGCATGGGAGTCTCACTGTTGTCTATCATAATATTAAATGCTATCACTTGATAGCAACGTCAGAGGGAAGATTTCCTCTCCATTCAGGCCAGTGTAGTGTAGTTGTACCCAAACATGCTACAGGTTACTCAGCAAACTCACAGTAGTATATGGCTGTCTAAATGCAGCCTACTTGGGACAAGGGTTTATAGGCTGTGTTAACTCTCTTTATAGATATATGTAGATTACCATTAGATTCTGAGATAGCTGATCTTAAATACAGTTATTTTATTTTGATATTACATGTCTGTCATGTAGGTAAGAAAAGTTGCTAGTATGGAAAATTGTACGTACATAGATGGTGGAGGACCTCTGTCCTTAATTCATAAGAGTGCTCCCTTAAACCCAAAACAGCTTTTTGACCCTTTAACTAAAGAAAATATTAGTGTTAGAATGACCACAGCAATTTGAAAAATCCCATGAGCACAAGGTTCATATTCAGTTCTTGCAGAGAATAGAAATTTTCCTATGTCAGTCGTATTTTACCCAGTTGTTTTCCAGTTATAATTATGAAAGGATAACCGTTACTGTGGACAACTCTTCTACAAGTTTATCAGCTTGCTCCCCAGCACTGCCTGTGGACCATCCAGTTTTAGTTGTTACAGAAACACCAAGAGAAGAAGTGAAACATTCAGGTAAGCACGAAATTTGATACTGGAATCCTGTCTTTGGCTTATCCTTATTTTGTATACTCTTTTCTTTAGTAATAGTGAAACCCCTAACAGAAACGCTGATATTTACAAGCCCATAATAGGGTTGCACATAAGTATTTTATGTTATCTTATTTTTATGTTGCAAAAAAATATTTTCAGAACTATGTTTACAAAAATGTTAATATTTATGGCCTGCAGGATGTGAGAAAACATCAAGTTCCTATCTGTGGCTCTTTGTGTTGATGGGAAACCTTTTACGTGGAATTGGGGAAGCACCAGTTATGCCACTGGGGGTTTCATACATTGATGATTTTTCTAAAGAAGAAAACTCAGCATTTTACATAGGTAATATCCAAAAGGGTGATGTTTGCCATTTTGTCCAACATTTGTGTAGCCAAGCAAAAAAGTTTATCTACTCTATTTTGGGACTTTCTCATACTGCAGAGAAGAATAAGGAATGCTAAAGAGATCTCAGCTTTATGTTTGAGGGATTTTCCCACTTGCTTTCTCCATTTGGCTTCTGCAACATGTGCCAGTTCCCTCTCTGATGAAAAGAAACAGGGTCAGATACTTATTTCTCCACATGTGTTTGTTATTCATTATCTGGAGTTAGAATATCACCTTCATTACACAGCTTCGAGATTAAATCCTTCCTAATCACTTATCCATAAATACCAGAGTTATCATTAATTACAGTAAACGTGTTTCAGCAACTTTTATATGATGTTTTTAATTTTACAGGCAGCAAACTTACTGATGAAAGCTTTTTAATGTCAATAGCCAAACATTTGTTGACAATGTTTGTTGACAATAGTCAACAAACCAAGCCCATGCTAGGATGTTGTAACAAATCACTTCTAATTGGGATTTTGTTGTTGTTGTTGTTCTGAGGCAGCATATCCTATTGCCCAAGACAGAAAGTCTTTACATCCAAGCTAATACATTTTTGCAAATTTGATTTTATACTCTGAAGTCTCTGTGTGACTCAGGATTCTTGAAAATGGTACAGAAAATAAAATTGGTGAAGCTGACTGGTCATAGAGAGAGTCAGACACTGTACTAATTTCAAGAAACATTTGGTGATCAAGGCTGCGAGGTAAGATCATTGCAAATGCCTTCATTTGGTGATGAGGAAATCTCTAGCTTGAAGAAAAAGGAGATACTATGTACAGAGAGGATTGTGATGTTTTGGGAGCTACTGGAGGAAGGAGATCAAAAGTATAAAGTAGAAGGAGAGAAAGAATAGTATAGTTTCATCTGAATGAAAATTTGAGTCATACAACTGAAACTTTTTTTTTTGAATATCCAGATGTTTCATTTTGACTTTCTGAAAAGATTTTTTTTCAGATCTATATTCAATTAAAAGATTTTAATATCTGCTAGAGTAAAAGTTTGAAAGGCTAAAACTGATTGCTATTTTTTATAATTTATAAACTTAAAACTCATTTTTATAACGAGTATTCCATACTAATCACCTAGCTTAGGTATTTCATAGTATTCAGATATCTAACTCCTGCTTAGGTGCCTCTACAAATGTTGCCAGAGTATCTCTGAAGATCTGGCTCATACTATAAGCTTTTGATGGCCTTTTTTATTTTTTTTTAAATCAGTTTCTGAGCGTAATTGAAGTTAATACTGACATCAGTTGCAATCAGTTTTAATATTCTAGAAGTTGAAAAACAGGCAATTAAAATTATTTAATAACATGTACTCAACTTCCTTTGGTTTCATGAGCCTGTGAATGAATTAAATTACATCACAAGGTTGAATGCTAATGTATAATCCTGTATCTATTGAAAGCAGTGGTTTAATAAAAACAAGTCTGAAGCCAATGTATGTTGCAAATTTTAAAACCGGTTTTATGCCTTGGTTACTTGTCAATACATGGGCTAGGTCAAGGTATGCTAATTTGCAGCAGCTGAATAATTGATATGTTTGTATGATTTACTGTTTACAGTTCAGGCTGTTTTTTAATTGCAAAGGATAAATACAAAATTATAGTAGGAAAATATCATTGTGAACTTAGTGGATTTTATCATAATATAGGGGAAACTTATTATATCAGTTGTTCTTTCAAATCTATGCACATGTGAAATGTAAGAACTTTACAAATGTTGAAAATTATTGCACCTGTCCTTCTAAGTTTATGTCATCTTAAACAGATAAGTTATAAAATACTGATCTGCTGATACTGGCGTGCTGTTTTTTTCACCTGTGTATTTTAGAAATTTGATACTGAATATCTGAAGTTTGGAGACAGGCTTTTGTAGTGCAGAGCAGTACTAGCTGCTTGAGATTAATTGATAAACAGAAAGAGCTAATTCCTGGTTTTCAATGTCAAAATCCTGACTTCACACAGGCCAAATGTTTTATCGTCAGTATATATCTAGAAGGCTAGATTTTCCAAACAATTTAAGTAAGAGTCTGAATGAAAGCAATACGCCATTGAGATAATGAAGCAGAGAGGAAAACTCATACGATTAAATTACATGGTAAGAAGTTGTTTTAGAAGTCTTTGATCATTAGTTGAGCAATCACTGTATTCAGCAATGAGTTTGCAAAACTAATGAGTGAAATATCTCCACAGTATAACAACACAGTGTGTACATAAGTGCATATTAATGCATCCATTAAATAGTTTGCTCAATGAACCAAGAAAGGTTCTGTCTATGGTACTTTATTTGAGTACAGCCAGATTTATATTTCCTTTTTGCTCAATGAAAATATTCTGAAGGTTCACTGTTATTGCCTCTGTCATTTACATGTGACTCTAAACTTCAAAAACATGTCCTCTTGTATGTACACTGCCAATTGAACTAATGTTTTTTAAGTTACAGACCTGAAAATACAGTACAGGGAAAAGTTCTGCATTTTAAAATCACAGAACACCATGTAAGTTATAAATATAATTACAATTCCTTCACTGAACCTGCAATAGTATGTTCTTTAGTCAACTGTCAGAAGCTGAACTACAGAAATCTGAGGAGAGAATTCCTCAGGAGGAAGAGGCAGGTAAAAATTACTGCAGTATAAATTCTCTGTCCTCATTTATTCTGCGACCCAGGAACACACTTCACATTGAAACTAGTGGTCTGGAGACTTACAATTTTTTTTTCTTCGCTCTAAAAGACTTAATCTTAGACATTCTCAGGTAGTCTGTGCTTGTTTGTTTTCATCTCCCCCTCCTCAGAAGGCAGAATGCTTGTCCATAGAGTGTCTTACTCACTTGTTTGTGATGTCTCCTTCTTGCTACAGGCGTGGTAAGATCTGCAGGGATGTTTGGGCCAACCCTGGGCTTCCTGCTGGGATCTTTCTGTGCCAACCTGTGGGTTGATATTGGCATTGTGGATATTGGTAAGAGGCTGTGGGGTCATGATCGTAGAATCATAAAGTCATTAGGATTCGAAAAGTCCTTCAAGATCACTAGTACATATTAGGGGTTGACCTGCTGAAAAGCAGCTCAGCAGAAAGGAATCTGGGAGTCCTGGTTGACACCAAGTTAACCATGATCCAGCAGTGCCCTCGTGGCCAAGAAGGCCAATGGGATCCTGGCTGCATCAGGAGGAGTGTTGCTAGCAGATCAAGGGAGGGGATCCTGCCCCTCTGCTCAGCTCTGATGAGGCTGCACCTGGAGTATTGGGTGCAGTTCTGGGCTCCCCAGTATATGAGGGACGTGGAGCTTCTAGAGAGGGTCCAGCGTTGAGTGACAAAGATGATTGAGGGACAGGAACATCTATCTTATGAGGAAAGACTAAATGAGCTAGGCCTGTTTAGCCTAGAGAAGAGAAAACTGAGAGGAGATCTAATCAATATAGATAAGGACCTGAGGGGAGAATGTAGGGAGGATAGGGCCAAACCCTTCTCAGTGCTGGCCGGTGACAGGACAAGGGGTAACGGGTATAAGTTGAAATACAGGAAGTTCCATCTCCATGTGAGGAAGAATTTCTTTCCTGTGAGGGTGCCAGAGCCCTGGAACAGGCTGCCCAGGGAGGTTGTGCAGTCTCCTATTCTGGAGATCTTCGAAATCCTCCTGGATGCCACCTTGTGCCTCATGCAATAGGGATCCCTGCTTGAGCAGGGATACTGGACTAGATGATCTCTAGATGTTCCTTCCGACCTTAACCATTCTGTGATATGTGATTCTCAGTGACCTAGCATGATCTAGCTCAGAGGGCTGCAAAATAGGAGCCAGCATACTAACAGTGCATATCCAGGTTACTAGTCCAAAAAAAGTATATCTCTAAAGATTTTTGCTAACATGTTATTGCTGTTTGATTTACATCTCCAGTGCTGCAGTGTGACTGGAACTGCCCTTATTACACCTTTGCTTAGTAGCTAAGAATAAATGAAAAACTGAAAGGCCACCCCTTTGGCAAAAATGAGCTTCTCTAGATGAAGGTGGAACAAAGATCTGTATGAAACACTATGTCATTATTGAATACACTTTATATGTCTCTTGTCCCAAGAAAATTTGAGAAAATACAAGGACAAACCTGTTGTGTTTGGGGTTGGAATTCTAAATACTAAATACCAAATACTAAATTCTAATACCCTGTTGGTTTGGGGGTTGGAGTTCTCAGGAGGAGAAAGGAGGATCAGTCAGAATTTTTCAGTCAGAAATTGGGAAAGGAAATTTCTTCTTTTGGTGAATAAGGGCTCTCTTGCTGTCACCCATTCCCATAGAAATTGTTGAAAGTCCAGTCTGCAGTAGGAAATGTCACCATGGGTCTAGATGGAGACACTGGAACTTATTATTGACTTCATGGGAATGATTTAATACAAGCTGCCTTTGAAGTCAACACATGAAATATAAATGTACTTCTTCCTGCTGTTTAGCTCTTACAAATCAAAGTTTAAATTAAAGTTTAATTATTCTATGTTGTATTTAATCTCTTTTCCTATCTCTCTGTATTTTATAGATGCCATCAGCATAAATCCTAAGGACACTCGTTGGGTTGGTGCCTGGTGGCTTGGATTATTGATATGTGGAGCAGTCAGCTTCATAGCTTCTTTGCCTTTCTGGTTCCTGCCTTACTCCTTGCCAAAAGAAGGAGAAGACGAAAATCAGAAGATTAGTCATTTGTCTATGGCTTTTCAGGGAGAGCATTGTAAAATAGATCCCCCAGTACAGCCACAGTTAAAGTTCTCTGAGGCAGTAAAAGGTGAAAGATTACAGCCTAACTTTTGCATGTGAATTCTCACCAAGGGATCCACTCTGAAATGAGAGTGGGTTTGTGCAGTGTGCAGCAAAATGTATCTTGCTGCAGTGCATATGATGGTCAAAAGTGCTCTCTTTTAACTGTAAATTAACTTTGAGTGCTGAGAGTGTGCTGCAGTGAGACGACTGGAAAAAGCTCATGCTTTTGCTCTGAGCACTTACCAGTTCAACACAGTAGTAGTCACTTGATGTATTACAGCTATAACCTTAAGAAGAAGGAGGGTACAAAACATCCTAGTCCCAGGTTGTCCAGGTTTCTCTTTAAGTGACACCAACATTTGGGATGGAAACATGGGGCTACATAGGGCTAAGTTCTTCCTTGGCAGATGGGGGAGTTTCACTGAGTGCATGGTTTCTATAACTCAGTTACTCAGAATTTGATAAACTAACTTAGTATAATTAAGATTAGAAACAAGTACACAGTGCTGGACTCACTCCCACAAGAGTTTAATTCATATGTTTGCACATGCAGTTTTATGGATTTAGATACTCTGTCCCAGCAAAGTTTCCTGCCTTGCATGCAGCTCTCATAAGGTTTGCAAAGGCTACTGCTTTAGCCAGCAAAATATTTTATTAGTGTATAATAAAGAATCTTAATCTTGAGGCCTGATTGGCCTCACACTCTCCTGTTTGGGCATTGATGATCAGTGTTGAAGGCCGTGTTGTAGCCTTTGATAAATAGTCACAAACGGGATAAACTGGGATTTCCGATGTCCCATTCCAGCATACCCTATACTGTTCAGCATTGCTGCTTCATGAAGCAGTAACTCTGTAAATCAGGTCTTGGCAGTGGGGAAATTCTCATTTTAGCTAGCATATATTTTGATAGGCACAAATTTATATCCTACTATTGATTAAATCAAGGTTGAGTTTATTAGCTCATAGATGCCAAAACAATTCTTCTCTGTGTTTAGCAGGGTATACAGCATATACCTCTCCATTGCAGATTTCCTACCAACTTTGAAGAAGCTGTTTGGAAACCCAATTTTCCTGGTGTATGTGCTCCTCACTATTTTGCAATATAATTCACTTGTTGGCTTGATAACCTATGAGACCAAGTTTATGGAGCAGCAATTCAATGTGTCAGTGGCAAGAGCCATCTTTCTAATTGGTAGGTATCTGTATTTTTTCTCTAAGATCAAGAAGGAAGGTTTTCTTTGTTTTGCCCTCTTTTGGGTTAAAGAAAAGCTGCATGGAGGTTTATCAGGATCCTACCGTGCTTGGAAAGTGGATACTATTTTTAATTTTCATGGTATTCTTAATGCCAGCTAGTGGATTACTATAACAGGATGATTTTTTTTTCAGTTGAAGTTTCTCCCAAAGAATGCATTCGAGATTCGTGAATTTGTGTCAGTGTTCATGAAAACAAATCCCACATAAATTACAATTAAGCAGCAACTATAAGAATTATGATTGTTTAATTTCAAAACCATCCAAATGAATGTCTGATTTTCCTTTCTAGAATAACAGTTTGGTTCAAATATTCTTCAGTTTTGATTTACAAATACATTTTTTATAATCAATAAACAGATATAAACAACAGATAACTATATATAAATCAAAAAGTTTTAGATTTCAAATAAATCTGTTCAACTCTATTTAAGTTTTTTTAAACTATAAAAAGGGGAGGAAAAATTTAAGAGATAATAAAAATTAGTCAAAAGTAAGAAAAAAAATGTAGAACCTCAAAGGACCATTCTGGGAAAAAGGTCAGAATCTGCTTATTTGTTTTTGAAACTCTTAATATCAGATATTTACTCTAAAAAGGATCTAAGTGACAGCAGTTAACATATTTCTGTGTTCTTTTATTTGCAGGTGTGATACTTTTACCTATCACAATCTTGGGGATGTTTCTAGGGGGATTTCTGATTAAGAAATTCAAGCTGCAAGTAACTGGAATGGCAAAGTTTGCATCCATCACCTTTATACTAGCCTTTCTGTTAAATCTCTTGTACTTCACATGCAGCTGTGAGGTGCTCCAAGTGGCTGGATTGACAGTGCCGTTCTCTGGGTAGGTACTCCTTTGAGCTTGTGCTGGTTGTTCTTCTTTCCATCATTTTTTCCTCTCTTGTTTTGGATATTTTGCATGCACTTGAATTCTTTCATTCTCATTCTCATCTGCACTAAAAACCTTTCAATTTAGAAAACATTTGAAACTAGATTTGGATGACTTCTGAAACAGAGCCTCTCTGTTGAGCATATTACTGTAGCTTTCTGTGTAAAAGATACATCTCTATTTGTATGCTTAAAAGATGTTTTTGAAACCCAAGAGTAGCAAGTTTATCTGCAAATGTCAGTCAGTACTGTTTCAGCTTGATAAAACTACTGTTACTATATCATTTAATCTCTCCCTTACTAACAATACACACAAGTGGATCCTAGGAGTCAAAATAGACTTGACAGGCTCAAATGATACTTAGTGTTGAGGATGTGAAAAATCACTATGACTTTGTCTTTCAGCTTTCAGTTAAACTGGGTGTTTCTTTTTGGAAAAAGTTTATTGCTGATTATTGGTAGTGTGCCTTTGTATGCTGGCAAGTTACTAACGAATATGAAATTGATCTCAGGCAACTGAAATGTTTTTTACTCAAAGATTTAATTTAAAGCTGGCCTCCTGCTGCCCCTAGAAGGACTGGGAGATGCAAAACATGTTGAAGGTGGCTTCCTTGTAGCACCCCCAATGGCTTTACATCTAGAAGGGACTATGCTCTAGCTCAGCAGTTATCAGCCTGCACTGGTAGTTACCAACCTCCCTTGTTATCTGGAGCTGTCTACCTACCTATACAGGTCTGTTTTTTCCCCTGGAAAAGTAGAAATTAGGTTAAGCAAGGAACATGCACTGCCTAGTTGGAAATTTCCCCTCCCTCACCAGGACCAACCCATACTTTCTTGAGAACATTTTGTCTACTGTGCAAATTTAGCACTATCTAGTCTGACAAATTTAAAGGGATTTTAAAGGACTAAGCTGAATCCAACAGGACTTGTGGATTTTCCATTCAGACAGAAACTCACACCTGTGTTTCGAGAAACTGTGCATATCTTCAAGGACATATCTAGGTATCTTGGCAAACCTGAAACCAAGTTCAGCTTTGAGATCACTTAAGCAAAAGATATCAGGCTTGGCCAGTGGTGATTACTGTGGCAAAGTGAAACATCAGATACTGTAGACATAACTAAGCAATAAGCCAGAAATATCAGATAGCAAATACTGAAAGAGCAATTACAGTTTTTTCAGCCCGTGACAGTTAAGAGTGCCTGGTAAATTTTCATGTGATCAGACTTTTGTGTTCAAGTGAATCACATGCTATTTCACCAGTTTACTGATTTATGGTTTGAAGATCAGACATATTACAACAAAAAAGCAAAAAGGACAGCATTTTACATTCAAAAAAATTTAGGAGGAATGTAGCCCCCCATGAGGTTTGGTTTTGATTGAGTGGTTGGAATGGAGAAGAGGAAAATTTTCAATACTTTTTCTTTGATTTGTGAATTCAGGTCTTTTTTTTTTTTTTTTTTTTAAATCTGTTTATCCAGGTCACCTTAAAGCTTGGGTGATTTGTGGATTGTGGGTTCTTCACACCTCCTTGAAAGCTGAGCCCTGCTGCCATGCCAAGAGAACCATTGGCCACTTCTTTGGTTCTCAACTCTCATTGCTACCCTTTTACTTAGCGCTTTGGCTGTCAGTTACATGTTTTTTAGAGAAATGTTAATAAAAATGAAAGTGATAAAAGCTCGTGATAATGTACCATAAGAAATTGGATCTGATAAGAAATAACTCAAGCCTGGCCAAGGTCTGGTGGTTCTACTGCTTCAGATGGTCAGAGCTGAGGTGGAAACAGCACTTCCTCCTTGACATGCTTGACTGTCATTGCTACTAATCTGCTCTGATCCAGTAAACAAATGTCAGGAACACCTTGCTGCTGTAATTTTGTGAGAAGCATTCTATCACTGCCTCCAACATGCCAGGCTCCACTGGTAGGGGAGATCATGGCTAGTCTGGAGGAGATAGAGATTTGTGTTTCCTTTTCTTTTTCTTGGACTGAATTTTCAAATACTTTCTTCCACTTTGTGTTTATTTGTGTTCCACTACCCTTTAAAAAGCCAAGGATGCCTTCTTTTTTAGCAACAGTGCATAAAACTTAATACATGATGAGATGAGCTCTCAAGAGAACATTGATTTAGCTGACAATAGCTTAGTCTTCATAAAACAACTTCATGGCCTATTGGGCACTTTTGGATGCTTGCAGATATCTGCCCACAAGGGTTCCTTCACTTTCTCATTTTTTCCTACTTCCTCTCACATATTTTGCCTGAAGTTATAATTCAACTACATAATTCTTTTGTTCCTTCCTGACTTTTTCCTGCAGATCAAAAATCTCCTCACCCCAAAACAGCTTCATAGCCAGTTGTAATGCTGACTGCAGGTGCAAGACGAATCAATGGGATCCTGTATGTGGGGACAATGGAATCACTTACACAACTGCCTGCTTTGCAGGGTGTAAATCATCAACTGGAGTTGGAAAGGATATGGTAAATGTTTGGGTGGACAGAGGTTTATTCATACTGCTGGATTTCTCAATCTGTTCATTTTGGCATTCTAATCATTCTGTTTTGGGTTTTTGATTAAGAAATTCCATGGAGACAGATGTCCATTTTTTACCTTTTAACCATCAAGTAGAAACTGAGTGAATTCAGGGTGCTTTTATTTTAATATTTTGAAATTTAACTCAAATGATTTTCTTCTCAGTAAAGTGACTATATTTCCTTTGAAGTTTCTCAGTAGATCTCTTACACATAGGTCCAACACAGCTTAGAGTGGTCTGTTTCAGAAGGCCTTTTTCTTTGTCAATTTACCAGCAAATTCGGGTATGAACTTCTGTGCAGACTTATTTAAAACTCAAAGTGTTGGTTTCATGAACCAGTATGAATGGCATTGGAATTGCTGTCTTTCCTGACCTTCTGTAGCTCTGGAGCAGCAGATTAATAGAGGATTCAGGCAGCCTGGTTGTGCTGACTTACATAAATCCTACCTCTAAACAATACAGTTAAAAGACCAGTAAATGTTGACCTATGTACTCAGCTTTGCCTAAACTTCCTGTAAAGCTTTAAGCAAGAATCAGTCACTTGAATTCAGCTAGACCATGGGCAGAAGAGCACCGTCAGGAGCCCAGCAGATAAAAGAGGACTGTTGAAGGAGCATTTTGTGTGAGGAATGTTTAGTTCACTTTAGGCCTTATTAGCTGGTTTGATTCAGATCATCAGCATAAAACAGTTCATTGTGCCTGATGTGAGACAGACAGCACTCAGTAACACTGCTTGCCAGAGACATTGACCACATCAGGGACTGGATTGCTATTATTGCCACAGCTGGGTTTAGAAAATGGAGATTCAAAGCCCCCAGAAAGTGTTTTGTCATTTACAAATTTTACTGTAATTGCTACTACTTTTCTGCTGCAGTTTATGACCCTCAAAGTTGAGTATGATCATGAATTCATGTGAAAGATCCTAGTCTGCTTCAGTGAGCAGTAGACTGGGTTAACCCAGTCCTTGCTGAAGATGAATACTTAGAAAGACTAGGTGGCTGAAGTAAGGTTTCCTTATATGACAACCTCAATCTGAAAAGGCTTTGCATTACAGGGAAAATACATAAAGCTTAGCCCCAAGTCTTTCATTGACATATTTATAGTCATAAACAGTATCTAAACAAATATTTAAGTTATGCAAATGTTTAAATATATAAAGTTTACAAATACATTTATGCATATATTTACAAATGTTACTGGCTTCAATGTATATGACACAGCGTGCTTGCACTTCATGGCCAAATGCTGATTCAGATACATAATAATAGGTACCTGTGTTGGTATTTTCATGCTCATAACTTAATGTACTTCATAGCACAGTGTAGACCAGAATGGCTTCAGACTTTATTTCTGAATTTTCTAGCTTTGGCCCATCTTCAGCATACACAGAGCACTTTCTGTCTTAGCTTTAGCATAGCCAAAACCTGAATTGCGGTGCTTTGTGTCTCTGGAGAAGCTTAAAGCAACTGGAGCATACCAATGAGCTTGAACCATAAGTCTGCAAAGACGATTAGAAAAGATCTCTCAGCATAAACAACAGCCTGCCTGTTACATGGGGTGAAAAACCTACCTCTTAATAGGTAGCACAGTGGATACGCTGAATTCTGATTAAATAAACTCTTCTTATCTTCTTTCAGGTGTTTCACAATTGCAGCTGTGTGGAAGGACAAGGGCATGGACTTGGCAATTCCTCTGCAGTTTTGGGACAATGCCAAAGAGAAAGCTGTACCAAAACATTTCCCTATTTTTTAGCATTACAGGCCACATGTGCATTTATTTTATGCTTAGGAGGCACTCCTACATATATGATAATGTTTAGGTGAAATACTTTGCCTTACCTTGATCATAAATCTTGGGGAAAAGAGAACCAAAGTATGATATCTGCCATTCATTCCTGTTCTGAGGAATGGCATTCTGATCAAACCAAAATGGGCTTGCGAATCTTTCCCGATTCTCTAAAATCCACCTCCTTTTGGAGGGATTACGGGACATTTATCCACCACATAATTTCCATGTAAGGTCCAATACATACTTTGTTGACATACTTTGTATAGGCCTTACGCTGATCCTTACACTACTTTTTTATTCCAATAAGAGGGATGGATTTAACGGAGCAATGAGTTTGAAATAGGTTATGGTGCTAACTCATTTATAAAGTGGCTATAGTTTTCACATTACTCCAGAAAAAAACATTCACCTTTGTTAAGAGGTTTACCAGAAAGCTTTGTTGTCTCAGAATTTTGTTTGTACTGTGGATATATGTGAAGATTTCAATAATTTATTTTTTCTAGAGTTGGTATAAACAGAATTATATTGTCAGCAATATTTTTTTTTCCCTTGCTTGTCAAGCAGCATTGCTATGCTATACTCAGGAGAAGAGATCATATTTTCTGCCTTTCTGGTCGTGCTGACAAGTGAATTACAACCTTCAGCAGGCAGTGCATATCACTAGCTAACCTTCTACCCTAAATTGCTGATTCTTCTGCAGTATTTCTTAGTGTAGCTGTTCTTACTGCTTGCCTGGATTATGGACTGGGTAAACTTTACTGGGAAAAGCTGCCAGACAGCTAGTGCAAGTAATCAGCAGTTTTTAATAATGCTAGAAATAAGATATGATAAATTAATTTAGCAAAACCTCCAGTCTGGGAAATGGACAGGCCAGAGCAAATAACCTGTCTGCTCTAGTGCCAACTCTGTGCTCCCTTCTGTTCTTTCTGTGAATTCTTCTAATCTGCCTAATGAGCACAGGTCTTGTCTCCATTGGTAGGAACAAGGTGCTTTTATAACCAGGTAACTCATGATTGCTGTCTCTTCATAAAATGTTAGAGGCTCAGGTGGGTTTTATCTGCATACATCCTCTTAAAAAATCTTTAAAACCTGCTCTCCTTAGATTCAAGAGTAGTTTCTAAAGGGTCTTCATTTAGCTCAAGAAAAGTTAATCCACTGAAATCAAAGGAAGGAGGCTCAACATGTGAACTTTGGTGAATGTTTTCAATTAAAATCCTGATGAAATGTGTTAGGTAAGCCACAGTACTCTTGGAAAGGGACAGGTGCAGGTGCTCATAGTGTAGTCACCAGTGTAGCCACTTTAGTTTACCGTTCCCTAAAACATCAAACTAATGTATTGTTTTTGTTTCCTTTTCAGATCTGTTTCACCGGACTTGAAATCTTTTGCTGTGGGAATTGAAACTCTAGGTGGTAGAGTACTAGGTATTGCTTTATTTCATTTTCCTTTGGAATTAAAGCAAAGAGCAGAGAGAGACCAAAGCTAGCTGCTAAGATGTCCTTGTCCCAGGTCAGCTACCTGAACAGGATTTGTCTGGATAGTCCTCAATACCTGTGATCCCTATTGGTGATCATTTTGGTTACAGCCAATGTGTAGTCTACCTATTCTTTTCCTTCTGTGTTGTCCTACAAGAAATGATCATTGCATTCCTCAGGCATGACCTACCCCTTGTAAAGCTTGCCTTAACCATTGGAAATTTTTCCCACAGAGATAAGCCTTTTTAGTCATTTTGTTCTCTCTCCCTTAATTTCTATATTCTGGCTAAGTGCTGAAATAGCTAATTCATTATACTAAAACATTATGACTGGGTTTATTAGAACAGTTATACACTTTCTATATGTTTGGTTTTGATGAAGTGCTTAAATTGAGTCCTTTGCATTGAACTAACTGTTTTAATTGCAAACAGTTGTATAGTATCCAAATAGGTATATTAGATATTCCTATTAATATATCATGGGACATAATACCATACTAGGGATAGACAAAGAAGTTTGGGTTATATTATCTCTTTAAACAACAGTATTAAAATTCTGATAAAAAAGTTGTTGAGGTATTTCAAGTATTGAAGCTTTCCCCCCACTGAACTAGTATTGAAAATAGCAAAGCTGTAATCATTCATCTATTCTACTCCCTTTTGGTACTTAGCTAAAAAAATATTCACAAGTCTTGTTATCTCAAACCTGCACTAGGCTGTTTTGACCCACTTTTTTCAGCAGAAATCTATACTCAAATTCATTTTGTTGTTTATTCACCATGACTAAATTCTGACATCTGTATTTCTGAGATCATGTAAGAAAGACTGTTCTTTGCAGGAGGACTCCCAGCTCCTATTTATTTTGGTGCCTTAATAGATGAGACCTGCTTGAAGTGGGGAACAAAAAGCTGCGGGGGATCTGGGTCTTGTCGAGTATATGACACAAAAGCATTCAGGTGAGCTGCAGTCTTCTGAAAGTGTTTGGGAAATTGGCAGCTAAGGTATACTTGGTGAGTCTACCAAGGACTTTTGCCAATGACAATTGTCCAGAAATGAAGGAACTACTATTTTTGGCTGTGTCTTAGCTGCTCATATAAGCCACACATTTGATTAGATTGGATATACAGCATTGCAGCACACTCTTTAACATTGCCAACATTTCTACCTTTAATGATGCCCTAGTGCACTGAAGGGGAGATTTCAATGGGGGAAATGGTGTTTTTGGAAGACCAAACCACCATAGAGTAAGTGTAGTATTTGAAGGCACCCTTCCTCACATCCTCATTTCTCTACTTACTGACATACATCTCAGTCATCTCTGTTACCCACTGTATCTTCATCGTTGTGCACCAGTTAAGGTCTTCACACTTTCTGGAGGCAGCTGCTCTCCCTAGGCAAGAGGCTGTTCCCCAGTTGAATTGTCCTTTAACTGAGGAGGTTTTTGTGTGAATGTAAAGGGTTGGAATTGGGAGAAAATCCAGGACTCAAAAACAAACAAAAATCAATCAATCAATCAATCAAACAAACAAAAAAACCAAAACAAGGCAAGGGTTTACCGTGAGAGATTATCATAGGATTTTACTATTAGGAGATTTGGCCACAAAATGCACTTGGAGAAGGGATGCAGAGGCTGCCTGTCACATTAAGTGCTGTGGCCAGGACCTTAGTATCCTTAGTCCCAATTGCACAGTTCCTCTATCTCAGTCTTAAAGTGTGGTCCATAGGCAAGGAGCATCACTAACACAGGAAACATCTCTACTAGCAATGCAGGACAAGATCAGGGCCCAGCTGGGACTCAGTCATCAGTGTTTGCTTTCTGACTGTTATTTCTCAAAACATGGACTGATGCCTCACCAAGAATAAATACATTTGCCTGATTGTATTTGATATCTTGCAAAGCTTCACTCAGAATTGGTGCACATTACATATGGAAACAAGTTTTATTTATTTATTTATTTATTTTTCCCAGGAACATCTATCTTGGACTTATCGCTGGACTACGGGCAGGATGCTGTTTCTTATATATAGTGCTCTATGTTTTAATAATGAAACGTTTCAAACCAGACAGCAAAGAGATGAAAGATACTAAAAATACAGAAAATCCAACCAGTAAAGAAACAGTTAATACCAACAAAAAGGAAACTCTGCCTGGTACAAGAATTTCAGAGGAAGGTGAAGAAACTTCTATGTAAAAAAAGAAAGGCCTTTTCTGACTCTGCCTGTGTGCCAGGTTTTCTAAGCACAACAGAAGTTTTATTCACAGCTAGTTTACAATTTGGGTTTACAATTTTGGTTCAAAGAAATTTTTTTGGCTTTTAATTTACTTTATCATATCCTTTTCACTTCTCTATCCGAAACAATAGAAGAAAAAGGAAAAAAGCGTTTTCTGATTTGGGGAAACTCTCAAACCTCCTTACTCCGATTTTCTTTCTATACCAACTATAAGACTGGCCAAAATTTTTCAGATGTCATGGTTTTGAATACAATCAAGAAATTAAAAGGAGAAATCTACAATAATAAGGTTCTTTCCTGTTTTTAACCACCTTTATTTTGAGTCTTCTTTCATTGTATCTAGTCCCATTCTTCTAAATGGCTAATCAAGTTATATTTGCCCTGATGGATTTATACAGTTATAGTTGCTTTGATGGATTTTGCTGCTTGGTTGATGATCCTTGTTACGGACTTGGTCCCACAGCCCGTGCTCAGGTGAGAACTCCCCAGGAACATCAGTGAACACTTTCCGTAAAGGAAAGTGATATCAGTAGTTAGCTCAAAACAAACAAGCATTCAAAATGAATTGAAAACAAAAGAAAATATTGTATTAATTTTGCAAAATATCTGAAAAGAATTGGGGTTGAATTAAATTACTCTGAACTGATCCAGTAAATTGATATATGCCAATGTTAAATTTTGTTGTTTTGCTTTGCCTTTTTTTTTTTTTTTTTTGTATTGGCAGATTTATCCTAATGACACAGTACATAGATGTGTATCCTAATGGCCATATGTACATAGACTTTCTGAATTTTTTTGAGGAACCATCTGTAAGCATTGAAATACACTGCTGAAAATTTCAAATTTCACATCTTTCTATGAGCAGACTACTTTAGAAAGATTCTTTAATAAAGAATCCTTCCAGTAGTCATTACTGGGAAAACCTTTTCCCGAAAAAACATGGTCAGACAGATCTCATTCTTTGTAACGGGAGCTTTGTAGAGAGAGCAAATATGCCTGGTAAGTTTTATCTCCATCACCACAACATTTTGCTTTCTGACCTGAGGGGTTTTCTCTATTCCCTTAAGTCCCATTCAGAACCCTAAAACTAAGAAACAAACTTCCTTCCTAGTTTTAAACTTCCCGAGCCAATGGAAGGGAATGTTATAAAGAAACTGTGCTACCCTGTACCTGACAAAGCAACAGAGCAGAGGGCAGTTGAGATATCCTTCATATTACACGATCTTTTGATCTCCATTCCACTACCTGTCCCATGTAGGTGTCAACACAGGAATCAAAACCCTTGGAAAAAGGCCCTTAGTGGAAGTTACTGAAAGCAAGTTCTTCAGATCCTGGCCTTGAGAATAGCATTGGATGAATGTTATTGCTTAAAGAAAATGATCAGCACGATTAGACATTGTCTTTTGCAATCACAGCTTTTTTTATAAATGGTGAATAAATATGGGAAAGCAATGTGTGTTCTAATGGAAAAATGAAAGCTGCTCTAGAGCAGATAATACCAATACTGGGGGTCTAAGGATAATTAAAGAAAAAATGTTAGGCCCACAAATCCCAGGAATTTTACTCTATGTTAGGAAAGTTATGGTGTGCTTTTCTCCCTCTACTGACAGTATTATAACACTGAGCAAACTTTTCAGTGGTTCTAGAAATAGTCCTGATCTGCATTATGTATGCAAGAACAGACCTAGTGGATGATTTATAATAAATCTCTTCCTTTTAATTCTGTTGGAATACTAATAGGTATTTTGATCTCCAGGGTATTCTCCAGGGCATTCAAAAGCTAACTCTCTGGTTTCTGTAGTCACTTGCCCCATCCTCAGATTTGTCTTATCACTGAGTAAGACAGTCTGGTGCAAGCATTGACTGAGTGGGCATTCCCTTCAGCAGTGTCCCTTCATGAATTCCTCCTTTTGTACTCTACAAAATTGTCACAAAGTTGCATCTTCTAGTGTTAAAAAAAAAAAAAATCTATTCTTTGCTAATCTCTTGGATTTCTTTCTCTTTTTTGGCTGATGCCAGGTGTCATTCCTTGAAATGATACCAGTTTCAGACTGATTTAGTCAACTGCACAAGGGTAGTGGTCAAATAGTTATTACCAAGATTGCATCTTGTGGAGACAATCCAGTAAAAACACCTAGTGCTAAGTGTATGAATAGTCCCATTTGATTCATGAGGAGCTACTCAAGTTCTTTCAGTGGGCCATAAGAACAAAAGCCAGTTAGTCTTCTCTTTTAGCACTTCTTGTCACTTACTGCAAGCCTCAGCCTTGAACTGAACATTTCATAGCAAACCTAGGAAGAGTTAGATACCTTAAATGGTGTTATGGAAAATTCAAAACACAAAGCAAGGAACTTCATCAACTGCTCAGTAGGAAATTCCAAGGAAATAGGCAGGGCTGAAGTTTATTTATCGAAGCTGAGCCTTTAAAGCACCACCACCTTTGAACGTGTTCAGGATGTTTGAAGGAGGTGTTGCATACAGGACAAGTCCCTCAAGGTCCCTGAACTGGGTGAACATACTGGTAAGTGCGTCCTGGCTCATCTTCTTGTAGCAGAGGGCCCTTTGATATCTCACATGATGAAGCTGCATGTCCTCACATGTGGTTTTCCAACATATTTGTCTCCCCTCTGTCAGTGATTTTGCTGAAGATCAACAGTGACTGTACAAGTTAACCTCTTTACTGATATGTTCTTGCTGCCTCTGAGAGGAAAAGGAACCGGATATTTTTCCAAGCGTAATCAAAGGACATTTAAATGGGAAAGATATGCAGGACATCTTCATGGTTTCAGCTACCCTGAAACAGACACACTTGAGAGCAAAGAACACAAACCAGGCAGTTTAGGTATGATTGCTGACTGTATGGTGGGCCAAAGCTGTAGATGATTTAAATCACATAGTTTTGCTGAAAACAGTGAGGAACAGCCCAACTACTGCTTTTTTTTTTTTCAGACAGTAAAGGTTTAATGACCTAACTCTTGTGTTTATCAGCTGTAAGTGTATAGTATAGGCCTGTTGACAGTGTTAGCAAAATCCTTCTGTGATAATAACTGTGTAGGACAGAACTTTACTTAGCAGTTATTATTTGACATTTCCTTACTTTTAGGTATATAATCAAGCAGACGTAATGACCTATGACTATTTGTTTTGTGATATTTTCTGGATGTTTATCAGAGAGGGAGGAAGAAAAACAGCAGCCTTAAACCCACAGTTTTCTATATGCATTAGGATCATGTATCCTACAGAGATGTAGCCTTCCTGCAGGTTTTGCATTTCCATTTTCAGCAAGTCTTGTCTGTCCTGACTTAAAATAAATTGGATCTAGAGAAGTAACTGTCATTGAACAAACAGAAAATAGCTCATGCTGTCAAATTAGATTTAAAAAAAGCATTTCCTACCTTTTAACAAAAATAGCAGAAAGGTAACATTAGACAAGATTTAGGCTACCAGATTTTCTCTATGGGATATGTTATTTTGCCTATGAAAGTTAGCCGTAGTTCTTTCTAAATGAATCAGTTAATGAAAGATCTGACTCACATGGATTTGCACTGCATACTTTGGAATTCCTTTAGCCTGAGCTCTTGCTTAATTCACCAGCCATGAACTGCAGGGTGCAGAGGAGCTCAGTTTGGGTTTGAACCTGAACCCAAACTCTCTGTTGGTCTCTGGTAAAAAGATCCTGGACAAAGTTCCTCCCTAGAGTGGACAAGACTGTTTTATGGATCAAGCAAAACCCAGGCAGAGCATCCCCTTGCAATCATTGATGTGAAACCATCATGCACCCTGGGAGGCTGGTTTGGGCAAAATCTGGCTCAGAGTCATGCCCAAACCACTTTTTAGGTGTTTCTGACAAGTAGTTTCTTGGTTGTGGACCAGAACTGGAAGTAGAAAGCATGCAGTTTATTTCCTATGGCCCTGAAGTGTTGTTTTTCACTAAACTGCTGATGATACAATGTGATTACTATATTTAATGAAAAACTAAGTAATGATCACTCAAGACTGCCAGAAAACAAGAATTCAGTAGATTTTGGTAAATCATTGGAATAAAGTAAGTGTGTATTTAGAAATTATTACAAGAGAAATGCATCTGGAGGCAGACTTATTGGCATGTTGAAGATTTGCTCAGAATAAAAGTTACATGCTGCAAGGAATCTAACTCTGAAAAGTGCTTCTAAAACTATTTAAATGTTAAATCAGAGGCATTCTGAGTCACTGACCGTCAAACCTAAGGAATTCATCTTCTCAGCTGTGTTACACTGTAAGACTATTTACATTAAAGGGCAATGTTTTCTTCTTCAGTAGAACCAGCAGGTGGAAGATCGTCAGAAGAGCTTTCTGTTTCTTAGTAGAACATATTGCTGCATAGATGAAAAGCACTCTTCCTATTACGTGCAAAATAATAACTGACTTCATCGCATTTGAATGTATGTTTATTTTATCATCTTCTCAGCAATGGAACACGGATGTTGCTATTATCTTATTTCCGTGTTACGTATTATTCATATTTCTCCAGAATCAATATTGTGGTAGCTCCCAAACACAGACTTTTTCTGAATGTATAGAGTTCTACTGTTCCCACAGCCTAGATTTTTTGCATTTTTTTATGTTATTTTTATGAGTTGTCTCTAGCTTTATTGTTTTAGATAACATTTCTGTAGTACAAGTATATGGGCTCTCTTCAGAGACCTGCTTGAAAGGATCAGATGGGCCAGGGCTGTAGAAGGAAGAGGCGCCCAGGAGAGCTGGTTAGTTTTCAAGCGTATCTGGGTATTTCCTCCATGCCCAGCAACAGTACATCCCTGTGTATAGGAAATCAGGCAGAGGGGGCAGGAGACCTACGTGGATGAGCAGGAAGCTCCTGGCAAAACTCCAGCAGAAGAAAGCAGTATACAGAATGTGGAAGAAAGGACAGGCCCCTTGGGAGAAATACAGGAGCGTTGCCAGGGAATGCAGAGAGGCTACAAGGAAAGCTAAGGCACATTTGAAATGAAATCTGGCAAGGGATGTTAAAAATAACAAAAAGAACTTATTCAAATATATTAACAACAAAAGGAAGGTCAGGGAAAAGGTGGGTCCGCTGGTGAACGGAGTGGGTACCCTGGTTATGGAAAACACGGACAAAGCAGAGCTGCTGAATGCCACCTTTGCTTCGGTGTTTGTCAGGGGCAGCCCTCTAGAATCCCAGGCCCTAGGGACACAAGAAGTGAGCTGGAGAGAGGAAGGCTTGCCCTGGGTAGAGGAAGAGTGGGTCAGAGAGCACCTAAGGAAACTCGACACCCACAAATCCATGGGCCCTGATGGGATGCACCCCAGAGTGTTGCGGGAACTGGCGGATGTCACAGCCGAGCCACTCGCCATCATCTTTGGAAGGTCCTGGAGAACAGGGGAGGTGCCGGAGGACTGGAAGAAAGCCAACATCACTCCAGTCTTCAAAAAGGGCAAGAAGGAGGACCCGGGCAACTACGGGCTGGAGAGCCTCACCTGCATCCCCAGGAAAGTGATGGAACAGCTCATCCTGGCTGCTGTCTCCAGACACATGGAAGAGAAGAAGGTGCTCAAGAGTAGCCAGCATGGATTCACCAAGGGGAAATCATGCTTGACTAACCTCATCACCTTCTATGATGGAGTGACTGGCTGGATAGATGAGGGCAGAGCAGTGGATGTCATCTATCTGGACTTCAGCAAAGCTTTTGATACCGTCCCTCACAGCATCCTCGTGGGCAAGCTCCAAAGGTGTGGGATAGATGGGCGGATGGTGAGGTGGATTAGGAATTGGCTCAGTAGCAGGGTGCAGAGAGTGGTAGTGAGTGGTGTGGAGTCCAGTTGCAGGCCTGTCGTTAGCAGTGTCCCA